CTCTCTCACACGCACGCGCGCACGCACGCACGCACGCACGCACGCACGCACGCACGCACGCACGCACGCACACACACACACACTTCTCTCTCTCAACCCTGCTGGTAATTGCCCTTCACGGCCACCAGTCCACCCTGGTGTATACACACATGATATAACCCTACTGTATGTATGACAGCTAGCAGGCACCATACAGCAGCTGTTAGCATCCCTACTCTGTGGGGGTCAGGCAGACATAAGCTTGGTGTAGAGAACAGCGGGAGGTGCGCAAAACGTGTGAATGAAACCTTGAGGTAATCATTCTGACTTTCTTCTTGTTTCATCTTGGAGTATTTTGGATTTTCATCTTGGAGTTTCATCATGTTTCATCTTGGAGTAAACTGTAATCATTCTGACTGGAAAAACAAAATCAGAATGATTACTCCAGATAATGTTTTGAGGGGAAGGCAGGAGATATGCAAGCCAGGGAGAAGAGGGAGAGCTATAGAGAGAGACGAATAGAGAGTGACATGGAGAGAGAGATGAGAGAGACGCGAACGAGAGAGAATGCGAGAGAGGAGAGAAAGGAGGAGAAAGAAAGAGCGAGGAGAAGACAAGAGAGAGACAGAGATAAAGAGAGGAGAGAGAGACGAGAGAGAGAGAGAGAGAGAGAAAGAAAGAAGGAGAGAAAAAGAGGAGCGAGAAAGAGAGAGAGAGAGAGGAGAAAGAGTAAGGAGACGGAGGGGGGAGGGGTCGAAGACTGGAAAAGAAGGAGAGAAAGAAAAAAAGGGAGAAGTGGAGGACAGAAAACAGAAGGGAAAGAAGAGTGAAAAGCAAGACAAAAGAAGAAGAAAAGGAAAAAGACGAAAGAAAAAGGAAGAAACAAGAAGAGAGAGAAAGAAAAAAAGAAAGAAAACAGAAAAAACAAGAAACAATAAAACAAGAAAGAAGACAAATGCAGAAGCGGACGCAAATGTATCGGGCACTCGCGTGTACCCACCAGGAGCGCAGAAAGGAGGTCAAGCGCGACGAAGGGACAGAAAAGGGAGGAAGACTTAAAACGGACAAATAGAAGAGAAAAATCGATAGAACGGTAATGAGAGAATAAAAGCCGATACCACGGGAAGCAAGTCGAGGATGACACGTCCTGGGAAAAAGTAAGGTAGCCCGGCGGGAGTTGGGCCGCTTTCCTAGATCAAACAGATTGAAGAGATATTTAACAAATCACGCCGCTGGAAACGGACTCAACGCGCCCTATGAGATATCGTACACATATAAGTACACACCGAAAGAACCGAAAACGCGCGCACCCACAAGCCGCGACACGACCGACACAAATAGACCAACGAGGAACACACGACGTCAGCCCGCCCATATAGGAAGGATACGTCACACACCAATTCAGCCTGAACCCCATACACCCAACCACGGAATCTTTTAGCGCACTCCCCTGACGACCCCGATAGAACTACCCCTAGGCACCGCCTCTATGACCTGGTCTACAAACGAACCCTCCATACGCGCGAACCTCCCGTAACGACCATGTAGCTACGCCTACCCTATGTATCGTGCTCATGTATTGCCTGAGTAGTAGCTCGGTTCTCCAGATGAGACAGATGTTACCGCGCTCGCTCAATGACCAGTCTTCCTCCCAGTACGCACACGTCACCCAAACCACGCAACTCGTATCTGCACTCTCGCCTACAAATCCTCTGACACGCTTGTTACCACCCTCCTCCCGCCCCTCTTAGCTAATACCATGAACACCCACCCCACACCCGCCGGCAAAAAACACAACATAGACAACCACCCGACCCCGAGAGTGGCCCTCGCACGACAATGAACAGCAGGACAGAAACGACCGACCGACATGAGACGCTGCGTGATCACTTCGCATCAATGCTAACTTCTCACCAAACTCGCATTCCTCCATGCTCCTACCCGCGATACTTCGTCCAGACCCTCACACACACACCCGGATCTCTGACGCCACCTCCTCCAGCTTTTCTCACTCCTCCTTAACGACCCACACCTCGGCCAGAATATTATCCAAGCCTCACGCACCACATGCCCACCGACAGCCCACTCACCCGTCCTCTACTCTTCCTCCAGCACTTCCTTCACTGCACTTCACCCACCTCCTCATCCTGCTCTTCCTCCAATTTCGTCCACCTCCCCCTCTGACCTCAATCCACTTCTCGCTCTCACCTTCACCTCCTCTTGCGTCCTCAAGTCTGCCTTCTCCACTCCCACGACCGCGCTACAACACCTAAGGACATTTTGCAAAATATAGAGATAATCATATATTGACAGAGGTTGGCGTTTTCTATCAGCGCCACCTTGTAGCCGGAATCCCCAGGAGTGAGTACCTCCCTCCAGAACGAGCACGGGAGAGAGAACGCCGATGACTATACTCTCCCGCCGCCGCCGCGCGCCCGACTCGGAGGAATGATGTTCACCTAGGCTGCTAGTCTATGCTTGCAATGACGCTCCTCACCGTGCCAGATGGCACTGATACCTAATCACGATCAGACCGCCGGCAATTTCACACACCAGTTCAAACCTGCCTCTCTGGTGGAAAGACAAAGATAGAAGCCGGTTTCACATGCTGTGTACACGGATTCTAGAAGGCGTGACGTCACCTCGGTTATAAGCTACCACACTACGTTTCTGAGGTGTTGTTATAACGAACATGAGTTATTATAGCATTTACAGAAAAAAGGACTGTCGTGAGAATAGTAATAATTGGAGCCTCTAAATATTAATATTATTTCAGGGAGGTGAATAATAATAGAATCAATCATAGGCCTATAGCAAGAGTGGGAATTGAATAATAGATCTAATCATTATAGCAGGAGTGAATAATAATAATAGATCTAATCATTATAGCAGGAGTGAATAATAATAATAGATCTAATCATTATAGCAGCAAGAGTTGAAATTAATAATATGATCTAATCATATATAAGCCGGAGTGAGAATAATAGTATATAATTCATGTAATCAGCAGATGTGATAATAATGAATGCTACACCTGCAGCTTATATGCAAGTGATGCTCTCACGATGGAGAATAGACTGAGATGCTAATCACTTGCGGGCGGGGCGGGGGAGGGGGTAGTAAAGCAGACCAAAGTGAGTGGACGGAACATAATAGCATCTAATCATAGAGCTGAGAGGGGAAGATATACAGCAGGACGTGAATAATAATAGATCTACAATCATATACTAGTCAGGCCAAGAGTGTGAATATAGGGTGAGAGGCTAAGGTGCAATTATGGAGGGGCGGCCAGGTGCGTGAGGCTGCCGCGGCGAGGATAGACTATATGATAACGTGCTGAATGCGATTATGACGAGTCAGGACGGTTAGATCAGAAGTGAATAGAGGCTCTAACTAGTATAGCCGAGCCGGTGTCTGCAACGACGTGTGGAGAGCTCGAATAGATAGATCTCGAAGTCACCGTACGTGATCAGCCACCGGCGAAGAAGTCTGAAGGCGTAGAGTAGATAGAGTACTACGTCTAACGGAGGGCGCTGCACGCCTGGCGGGCGACGCGACGGACGACTCGAGGGCCGGCGCGACGCGACGGGCGGCAGTGACCGGGCGGAGGCGGCCGACGTCGGCGCCGACGGCGGAAGGGCTGCGAAGTGCGGCAGACGGAACGGCCGTAACGACGGTAGAACGCTGACTAGGTCGGCGGCCGATCAGAGCGTCGTGGAGGACTGAGACGGCGTCGGCGGCCGACGGCGTGCCTAGCGGTGACGATGGCACGTGGACTAAAAAATTCATCCTTTTCGCAGCCGTGCGCCGCGGTCCCCGTGTTGCTGCGCTCTCGCTCTCGCACGACGCACGCCTGACGTCGGGCCTCCGATGGGCGGCGTGCACCGAGGCGTGGCGGGCACTTGGCGGTGGGAGGAGGGAACTATACAGGGGGCAGTGATTGATTATTCGCACACGGGCAATCATGCAGAACGTGACCGCCCGCCTTGACCGCCGTTCAATCGGCGACTCATACGCACTGATTAGGCATCTCGACGACTGTGAGTTCGGGCACTGCTATTCACTCTTTGCTTATTATGATTTAGTATCTTAGTATTATTCACTCCGCCCTTATAATGATCTTAGGCATCTATTATTATTCGACTCCTGCTATAATGTAATTTAGATCTATTATATTCACTCCTTAGCTATAATTGATTTAAGATTATTATGATTCACTTTGCTGCCTATATATGAGTAGAATCTATTAATTATCACTCGCTGCTACTAATGGATTTAGATCTATTATTATTACACTTCTTGCTGCGTATAATGATTAGGCATTCTCATTATTATTCACTCTTGGCGTGAGTACAGTTGCATCTACGCACAGCTCTAGTATCGACTTCACTCCTGCTATTAATAGAATTATGATCTATGTATTATTTTATATATCCATACTCCTGTCTATAATGATTAGATTCATTGATTTATATCAATATCTGTCGTTGCTGCTATAATGATATTAGATCATGGAATTATAGGTATCTATATTCACTCTTTGATAAGCTTATAATGATTAGATCTATTACTTTCTCCGACTAATTCACTCCTGCGTATCAATGGCATTAGATCTACTTATTTATTCACTCTTGCCCCCTATAATGATTAAGAATCCTATCATCTTTATGTCACGCCTGCCATTTATATTGATTCAAGATTTCTGTTATTGAATGATTTCACTGCTTTTTTCGATTGAAGAGAATTTAAAAACTTCATGCTCTCGCTTATACGACCAGAAGGTTATTGGTAGTTATAACGAAAAGGTGACCACGTTAGAATACGGTGTTAACCGACACATAAAAGGCTAGACTTGGTCTTGCTCCTAGTCTTATTGTCCGTCTTCCCCATTGAGAAGGCCACAGGTGAACTAGGTTGAAGCCGGCGGCCGCGATCGATGTGCATCATCTGGACGGCAAGGAGGCTGCCAGCAACCAGACTCGAGGCACAGGATGTTTTCCCATCGAGTCCGTCGGCGGCCGCGCAGCAGCCGGAGAGTGCGCGGCTTCATGGGGTTCGATCTCTGTGCTCTGCGCGCCGACGGGAGGCTATCCCCTGGGGATCGGCCCTACAGGTGGCGCGTGATGCAAGAACCAACCCTCTGTGCAAAAAAATTTCTCAAAGGTTAGTGTGGTACGGAGTGGGCAGAAGGCAGAATGGAGGGGCCAGGGAGGAGGTGGAGAAAGTGGAAGGAGGCAGAAGGGGGAGGTGGAGAAATTGTGTAGTAGGCATTCCATTTTTTTATTTATTTTTTCTGAAATGTATAGCTCATTCTGTTTATTAATTATATGTATTGCATTATATTTATCGTTTTTAGATTGACAATTCAGGTAAAGTGGTTGGCGTTTTGCGGAAACAGGGGCGTGCAGCGCGCCAGGCCGCGGGTGAGGGCGGGGGTCTGGGCGGGCAGGCGGGCGGGGGGCGGGAGGCGGGGGGCGGCCGGGGCGGGCGCGCGGGGCGCGAGTGGAGAAAGAGGTGTATGTGGGTGTGTGCAGGTGCAGGTGGGGCGGCCGCTGTTGGCGGGGTGGGCAGGGTGGCGGCGGAGTGGGACGGATGTGACTGAAGTATTTGTATGTGTTTTTTTTTTTCGGCGGCGGTTGGGGCGCGGTCGCGTTGGCGGGGGCGCGGGCGGCGGGCGTGATTCGGGCGTAGCGGGGGGGCAGAAGCACCGAGGACGCATCACGCCGGTGGCGGCTGTCTGGGTGGGAGGGTAGCATGGTAGAGAGCGTAGGTGCCGGCGGCCGGACCGTGGGTGAATAATAGAAATAACGCGGTACTGTTGTTAAATCGGAATCCCCCTTGTGTATTCGTTTTATATCTCTTGGCGGCACGCGGGGGAGAGGCGGAGGGGGCCAAGCGAGGGCCGGAGAAGGGACTCGTTGGTGACGGCCGTGGCGTGCCTCTCAATATCTACAGCGCGGAGCGGCCAAGCGCGG